CAACAATGCTGCACTGCTCCTGAATTCAGAGCAGAGTTGCCACTTACACAACAATGAGATGAGAAAATATTTCAGGGGGTGTACTATCAGCATTGTCACAGTTGATTCCTGAGCTGTAGCCTGTCAATCAGCACCTGGCCACACCCACTCCCACCCAGTGCTTTCTGGATTGACAGCTCTGCTTCTGTAGCTAAAAACCTCCCACTGTGAGCTGCAGTGTCTGTGAGTGGGAGCACGTTTGTGGCACGAATGAAGGGGGATTTGGCTCAGGCAGGGGCGGTAATGAATGTTTTTTGTTTACTTTATGAGGCTAGTAACTGGATTTGGGACTTGTTTAGACAGCCAAACAGGAGTCTTTAGTTGTGCTTTAAACATTGAAGCCCACATTTAGTCATCAGACCCTAAACTCTATATTCCAAATCCCCAACATTACCACCTTACCAGGGTGAACATCTTTACCACCAGTCCTTATGTTTCTTTGGGAAAGTTTGATCCCAGCAGATGAACATTTTCTATCCTCCATCCTCCAGGGTCCAGTTATAGTTTCTGTTAGTAGAGAGTCGTAAAATGCAATGGATACAGTAATAGACACACCATGCACCATGCAATGGACACATCATGCAATGCAATGGTGTGCTCATGGCTAGCGTCTGTGGATAAAGCAGACCTTTAAAGAGAATCTGTTGCCAGACTATTCATTTCAACAAAAATCTTCTCATAAGATTATATGTGCACTTAAAGCGACATTAAATAATACAATCCCCCCCCTCCCCCCCCCCAATGTTAATGTAAGCACTTACCTTAAATGGTGTCTCTTAATCCGATCTTCTTCTTTCCTCTTCAGCCTTCTCTCCAGCGCTGCTGCGGGTCTCCAATCCAGCGCTGACTCCTCTGTGCTTGCTGGCACTTCCTGTCCCACGGTGTCTGCATGCGGATGCACGCTGTCAATAGACTTACCTTGTGTCTCTCCTCGTCTCCCGTCCGAAAATTTGAACTGCGCATGCGCCCGCCCCAAGATCCTTTGCTAAAACACCCTAGATTTTTCATATTTTCGGACGGGAGCGCGTGGGGAAGACACAGGTAAGTTTCAACCTCTTTTTCAAGCGTTTTTGTTTTTTTTTGCATATATCCACTGCTTGCTAGCAGTAGATATATGCAAAAAAACGGAGGGTTTAATAACCCTTTAACATATTTTAGGCATAATATTTACCTGTAAAATCCTCCCTTGTGTAGACATCCAAAAGACCGGAGACTGCTGCTGGGCGCCACCATGTGAGGTGTGATGTCAGAAGCCCCAGCAGACTCAAGTGACACTTTATAGCTTCCTCCTTCTCTCCTACCCCAGCTGCTACATTAAAGTGTATTTTCACTTTTGCATTCAAATTTGAGAAGGTTGTTATATAGGGACGTGAGGGGAGGAGGCGCTGGGCCAGCACCAACAGTAATTAGACACTCCCAGAAGAGAAGAGGGCTATTATGTGCAAGAGGAAAGGAGCTGTGCTAGGGAGTTGAGTCTACTGGAGTAGTCAAATTTTCTAATAAGTTTTAAAATACACAATAGACCAGCGCCAAAAAAACCCTCTTTACCATCAGAGGACGATACTTTTTGCAATCCAGGAATGGCTGCCCCGTTTCAGAAAAGCTGTGTCTGTGTGATTCTGTCAATCAACCGATCCTCTGAACTGTCCTCTGATTTACGTTCTTTTCAGGACAGTCACTAAGGACATATATCAATTGCTGCTTATTTCCTTGCTCTCCTTGTGAGTATATACATATAGTTTTGCATATGTTTTAACTGAATAAAAGGTTTCATTGAACCAGGAAAGGCGCCCAGTGTTTGTTTTCTTACATTTTCTTAGGGATGCACCGATACCGGTATTTTGGTACCAAATTTTTTTTTTCGGTACTCGCCGATACCAAATACCAAGTACTGGAAGCCCCATTCAGGAAGCCAGGCGGTGTGTAATGACTCGCCACCTGGCTTCCCGATTAACAAGGAAGCCGTCCCATGCTTCTCGTTACTATGTGACGAGAAAGCATGGAGCCGGCTTGCTGGCCAATCATTAAAAAGCCGGGTGCCGTGTAATGACGCAGAGCCCTGCTTCCTGATTGGCCTGAGAAGCCGGCTCCAGACTCCCTCGTCATGAGATGACCAGCTTCCTGATTGGCCAGCTTTCCGACCAATCAGGTCATTACACATCATTACAAGTGACGAGGGAGCATGTAATGATGCGGGCAGTGTGTAATGATGCGCTGCCTGGCTTCCTGATACAGGAAGTATCGGGCTAGGCATCGGAGCTTTTGTGCGAGTACGAGTACTCGTCCAAATACTCGGTATCGACGCCGATACCGATACTAGTATCGGTGCATCCCTACATTTTCTAATAAGTTCAGAAGCACATTGCAAGCCAATACAAAACATTTATGGAAAGGAAAACATTTAAATTGATGTGCTTTTACCTGTATTTTTTTTTTTTTAAATTGGTGACAGTGTCTCTGTAAAACAACAAAAGGGCAGTTGACAGGTCAGCATTTATGGGGGCCTTACAGTCTGACACTGGGCTAACATTTCTGCTTTGCCTTGGGGAGAATACAACTAAATAGCAGCACACGTACCTATCCCTGGGAAAGTAGGCTACACTTTAACAACTTCATCGTAGAAATTCCAGATCTTTACAATGCCTGTTTCTGACTGGTTCTCTCTAATTATGTATTCTAGTCCTTTTAACATGCAAAAGCATCAAGAAGAACAAACACGTGGAACTTTCATTATCTTGCTCGGAGAGAAGGTGACAAATGAGAGGGGGTTAAACAGACAGACAGGCCCGGGGACTGTGGATGAAAACTTTGTAACTTATTACCGTGCTAGACCTGCCTGGCATCCGAGTGTTAATTAACGCTGAATTCCACCAGAAGGGCTCCTGGAAACCCATTAATACTCAATGCATTTATAGTCATTAGTGCTTCTGTATGAATTAATAATGAGGAAGCATCAAAAGCCACTTAAAAGAATACCTGTTAAAGGCAGCAGTCTGTTAACGACTCTGCCACCTCGCACTCACTGAATTACAAGAAAGACAATTTAAGTGAATAATTAATAATGAAATGAAAGAAGCTAACAGTTTGAACAGCCTGAAACTGGAGTTAGGGCATTAACCCTTCCCCTGCCCTGACGACCACAGGATGGCTCTCGGAAGAGGCTGTGGCTTATGGCGAGTCTTGTTTAAAGGGCAAAAGGGCGGAAGCTGGTTATACAAGTCCTGCGAATAAATACTATATGTGATATTGAGCATAAAAGAAGACAAAAGAAAAGCATTTCTGATTTCAGGGCTTTTCAGTTTCTTGCGGCTTACTGTTTTTAATGGTTTGCTGCTGTTGTTTATTGCTGTTAATTGAACCATTCGCAATGGCAGGAATGTTATAGTGATTTAAATAAGTCTTTGGACAATCCATATATGCTCGAGTATTCCATCTGGCTGTACATGCCGGTATCAGGGCACTTGGCTCGCTTTCGCAGTTCATCTAAGGCAGCCCATTTAGGTTGGACCATACACGTACATGGTCAGATCCGTACAAGCCGGCCATTTGGGGTTCCTGACTAACCTTTCCCTGGAAAAACATGCATATGTGGGTCAATTGAACTGGATTTGTCATGGCCCTCCCCCCCCCCCCCACTACATTGAACAGTTTTAGCACCCAGGGAGAACATACAAACTCAATGTAGATCATTTCTCTGGTGGGAATTGTACCCAAGACACCAGCACTTGTGTGACTTTGCTGCATCGGATTCTATTAGAAACAGACCACGCATTTGGTTTACTGGTGTAATCTATATAACATCTCATTACAATTGAAAGCAAACGCTTCAAGGGTTAGTCCACCCCAAAAACGATATTTCAGGTTTTGATAGATGCTGGAGAGTTGAGTCACCTGTTTCTTATATCTCTTGGTGATTCTATTGATGGGATCTCTGGGCTGAGTTCCTGGGTCTGCACACATACTGGGGCCATTATGAGGGGTTCACACTCTTCTTGTTGGATTTGTATTATTTTTAAATATAAAAATGCAAAATTAGAATGTGTACATGCAAAATTAGTGGTGGTGGGGGGATGTCACTAGAGATTCCCAGTTGGACGTCATCAAAGTGGGAACTTATGGCTTAAAGATTTTTAATGCCTTTAGCACATCCAATAAAAATAAGCCCAAGAAGCGCCACCTACACCATACATATCTCTTTTGGATGGACTGACGCTTTAAGGTTTGCGAATAGTAAGTCAAGGGCACTGTTGCAATTTTGCAACACTGTGACAGTGTTTCACTACAGCTGGAGTGCCACGGTTGCCTATCCCTGCTTTAGGGCCTGGGTCCTAAGAAGCATGTTTCTGAAGCTCTTTCATAGACTTCTCCACCAGCAGTGTACACTGTGATTCTACTTTGCTATATTGTGTACAAATACATTTAGATCTCACTATGAGGCTCCATGTTGAGTGTATCTGACATAGTGTCTAGTGCTACTCTGTGTTGGATTTAATTTCTGACCATGGGGGGTTACTGTATATTGCACTGCAGACCCTGCATTACCATTCCCGACAACGGTGCGGAGCACAGCCGCAGTTTGTTCTGGTTCATTCAACACACACATTCATTATTTAGCAATTCACCACAGCACTTCAAAAACTGTCAAGACCCTCACACTATGAGAATAATCAGAGGAAACTTGACATGATTAGAAACATGAAGACTCCCTTTTAAAATTCTAGTTTCCTGGGTGCTGTGCTGAACCTCTTGCTTTAATATTTAGAGTCACTAACTCTGGGCCACTGGATCTCAGCTGCACAAACAGGTAGCTAAGGCGGGCCGTTCTAGTCCTTTGGTGGTCAAGGCAAGTTGCTGCCCCTGTGGCTGTCTATCAGTGTGGTTAGTGGATAATAGCACACATGTACTGTTGGTGGTCAAAGGATCCTTGGTTCTCAACTGGTGGGTTGCGACCCCGTGTTCAGAGGGTCGCTGCGTGCCTTCCTCTTTTCTAGGTAAAAGGCTCCTCAGCATCCCAGTTTGCGCAGCACTGTCAGTTCTCGTGCCAAGCAGCCATTCAAAATGACAAATGTGGGTCCTGAGGTTACTCAGGTTGAGAACCACTGGCTTAGATCTAATGATTGCCCATCAACCTGGTTGGCTAATGACATCACAGATGTACAGTTGTAGGTCAAGCCAAAGTTCTGGATCCCATGACTGCCCATCAGTGTGATTAGCTGATAACATCAAAGATGTATACTTGGTTTGAGGTAGTGAGTTCCAGAGGATGGGAGAGGCTCTGAAGATGTCTTGGAGGTGAGCAGGGAGGTAGATAACAGGGGGGCTTGGGAGGAAATAAGAATACAGTTAGGGGATTATTTTTAGATGATGTTGTTGATGTAGGGCAGAGTTGTGGATGGCTTTGTACGTTGTTTTTAGTGTTTTGAATTTTATCCAATGGGCGAGCAGAAGCCATTAGAGAGATTGGCAGAGAGGTGGACACTGAACGGTTGGTGAGGCGGATAAGTCTGGTAGCAAAATTCATGATAGACTAAAGGAAAGATAACCTGTGTAGAAGTAAGCCCACAAGAAGGGAGTTGCAATAGTCAAGGGAAGAGATAACGAGGGAGTGAATCAGTAGCTTGGTGAAGTCATTGGTTAGGAAGGGGCAAATTTTGGCAATATTATGGAGGTAAAGGTGGCAGGATTTGGACAGTGAATGGATGTGGGGCAGAAAGCACAGGTAAGAGTCTAGGATTACACCTAGCACCCTGGCATGACGGGACTGACTGATAGTTGTAATATTAATCTCAATAGGAAAGTTGGGGGGAGTGGGCACAGAGTCATTGAAACATAATCAGCTCAAAACTGAATTGAGAAAGCTGGTTGGACGACCAGTGAAACGTCTTCAAGAAAAAGACAGCAAGTCCGGTTGCCTTGACTTAATTTTTACAGATGTACCGTGACCTGGATGAATGAGAACCATCACAGACATAATAAGCTCAGTTTCTGAAAAATTGAGCTTTAGGAAGTGGTCTGCCTTCCACACTGACATGACAGATGTACATTTGGTGGTCACTGGCTGGCTGGATTTTGACCTGAGAATTATGCAGATCTCCATCACTCTCCATCCATTTTTTTAATCAATGGAGACACTCTGGTAGCCATTTTCAAACAATCATTTGATAATTTGTTTTCCTAACTAACACAATGTCTGTTTTTGTACCCTTCAGTTTTCACTGGCTAACCAGATTTTTGGGGGGACCAAAACTGTATAAAGGTTTGTTACTGACAAACTGCATCCTTAATGTGCTTTATTCACAGTACAGAATCTTGTTTTTGATGAACTCATAAAATACTTAATAAAATGTAGAAGATCAAAGAGGCCTTTGATCTGTGCAGCATCCTTCAAAAATTGTGAGAGAATGTGGAAGAATTTCATATGAGTCACGATTCTTAGCTCTGGTCATGTAACATCAGAAAGTGGTAATGTTTCAAAGACTTTTCTTTGCCCTTTTTGTATTCCAGGCACAGGTAGACCCAGCAGGTCATGGTTTCACAATCACCCTCTATGGGAGTGAATTAAAGGTGACTTCAGTAGACATGTAAGATTAGTTTTGTTCCAAATTGAAATTCGTATCAGCATATTCGGACATTCGAATGCATCCAAATTTCCTGAATGAAATAAATAATCCGAACATGTCCGAATATTTCAATAACAAAATTTTGGATGCATCTGAATTTCCCCCCCCGAATGTCATTCAGAATAAGATGCTTATGCTTGATGATGTTCTGGTATGAATTTAGAGGGTGAACGAAATGCAAAAAAAAAGCATGGGGTCCCCCCTAAAATCCCTTACCAGACCCTTGATGTGAGCAGCAGCCTGGCAGAGCAGGAAAGGGAGAGGAACAAGCATGCACCATGCTAGGCCACATGCCCTCAACATGGGGAGGGTGCTTTGATAGGAGGAGCCCCCCTGGCAAAGCACCTTGTCCCCATGTCGATGAGGACAAGAGCCTCTTCCCCACAACCCTGGCCCAGTGACTGTTGGGGTCTGCGGGCAGGGGGGCTTATCTGAATTTGGGTGCCCTCTTTCATAATGGGGGCACCCAGATGCCACTCCCCCACTCATGAATGAGTAAGGGGAGCTGTTACCCCAACACATTCACCAAATACAGTAAAATTGTAAATAAATACACAACACTGTAGTATAAAGGCCTTTTTTTTTTAGAAAAAATTCCTTTATTCAAAAAAAGAAGTCCATTGATGTAATCCAGCGTCAATCACGTCGTCCAGCTATGTAGATCCACGGCAATCATGATGACCGATGGCCGCCGACCTGCCTAAAGAAAAAATTCTCAACATCCCCTGACACATCCAATCCTGACAAACACTGGCCGCAAAATGACAGGTCTGCTCCCGAATGTAAACAAAGGGGCAGAGCAAGTCGTGACGTCATGAGACTTGTTCCGCCCATTTGTTCACATTCTGTGACAGCTCTCTGTCCCCTAATGGAATGCCAACAAATCATGCAACTTTTTTGCATGATCGTTTAACTCATCCGAAATTAACAAATCCGTACGAGTAACAGAACAAATTGATTTTCTGACCCGAATCCCGAAAAAACGAACCGAAACAAATTTTTTTGTCGGCTTATACAGTATGTCTAGACTTCAGAGTCATGGCGTCTTGGACATACATAACTAGAGCTAATAGGTCAGTTTATCCAAGCTGTTATTTCAGACATAGGTGGATACTGGAACATTGATACACCTACAACCTTCTTATATTCAGGGGGACTGCATTAACTTACCTTGTGCCTCTCCTTGTCTCCCGCCGGCCGAAGATCTGAACTGGGTATGCTCCCGCTCCATGATCCTTTGCGGGCGCCCGAGAATCTTCAGATGTACGGACAGGAGCGTGCGGCGAAGACATAGGTAAGTTTTAACCCTTTTCAAAAGTTGTTTTGTTTTTTTATATTTTTGCATATATCTTCTGCTTGCTAACAGTAGATTTATGTAAAAACAGGCTTTAATAACCCTTTAAAGTAGAAGCACTGAACTGGCTTCAGTCTTCAGCTCCCCCTACTCCCCAGCAGGGACTTAGCATATCAGCCCAGCCTGCTTACGAACACCAAGAAGTAACTCAGCTCTCTCTGCCCCCCTCTTCCCAGAAGTGGCTCAGCATCACAGCTCAGCCTGCTTCACTACTCCCAGCAGTGACCCAGCAGCTGAGTTTCCCCTGCTCCCCCCTACTAGCATTGATTCAGCAACTCAGCTACTGCTGCTTCCCCTCCAAGTAGTGACTCAACAGCCTTCTGATCTCTAATGTAAATACAGTGTGTGAATGGCACCACAATGCAATGGTATGAAGGGGTCCCTAACATTCCTCCATCACCTATTTTTTCTGTGCTGCCTTCCTCTGGTACTTCCAAATATGCTTTGGGAACCTAGATGGCCAATCCCCAGGCCGTGTCAATTGAGAGTGGGTAGGGAGTCCTTGTTGCTCTGGTCAGAGCTTGCACAGGGCTTCTTCTCCTTATTCTTACACAGGGGAATGACGGGTAGGTAAGGATAGGCAGTGTGGGAATGGGCAATGCACAGGTTCTCTTTAGGAGTGCGCAGTAAATATTTTCCCTTTGCAATGTGGGAAAAAAAAGATCATCTTGGTCTTTGCAGCCGTGTTGGAGCGATGAGGCTCTGCCTTGCCTATTCAAGCTGATTTAAAGGGAAGTCCCCTGTACAAACAACTGTCACAGGTGTGAGGATATGAAAGTGCCCCCTCCCTGTTGTTCTCTCTGCAGCTGCTCCTCTGGAGTTTGGTGAGAAACCGAAATGTTGTGTGATGCAGCTCAGGTGCAGCCATTAGTATTGACTGGGAAACTGATGGGTGCATAATGGGGCACAGTTAGGGTTGCCATCTTTTCTTCAAGTGAAACCCAAACAATCAAGCGCCAACAAATTTTCTTTTTTGGAGAATATAGAGGAGAGAGCAAGGAGAGGCAGCCAGGAGAAAGAGCAAGAAGAGACAGCTAAGGGAGGGAGTAAGGAGACCGGCTATAGAGGACTACAAGTTCCCGCAATACATTATAGAGCAATACAAAATAAATATCAAGCTACAAATGTTTTGTTCCGGGGTGGCTCCCTGATGTCTCCAGGGTCTCAGGTGGCCTGTGCGAGCTCTCACCAGGGCTGTGCTGGCTTTCAGGTGGACTCTGCAGGCTCTCAGGTGAGCTCTAGAGGCTCTCATGTGGGCTGCACGGGCCCGCAGATGGGCTATGTGGGCTTTCAAGTGGCTGTGTGGGGTCTCAGGTGGGCTCTCAGGAGTGCTGTGCCTCACCAGGGGTCTAGAGGCAGGCAGCGTGGCTCGCAAGAAGGCTGCCAAGGCCCCACGCTTGCTGGGGACCTCAACAACCTTCCTGTGAGCCGCTGGCCCCCAAATCTCTTCCGACTTCCTGTCAAAAATTGTAAAGTGTCCGTGTGTCAGCTGGCCTGAAACGCGGACACAGGTCTCAAAAACCGGCCTGTCCGGGTGGATCCTGGACAGGTGGAGGAACAAGGTCCCTCATGGCCAACATAAGGAGGAAAGGTCTAGTTGCTGTGGTCCATATGAAAACTCCTGCAGGAGGCCTATTGCATCTGTTTTGTGTACCACAGCCAAGTAAATGATCACTTTTTTCCACATATTTTAATGTATGTTTAGCATTTTGTATGTATTTTCTCAAATCATATACACACTTAGCTGAAGGTGCCAGAGAAGTGACTTACCCCATCCCATTTTCTTTTTGCTCTAGAAAGCTGTGCGGTGAAACTCAATTGAAGGAAGGCTGTCTGAAAGCAAGCAGCTGCGCTCCCTCTATGAAAAAGCTGAAATGCTTTGTGACACCAGTGTCATGGGTCTTCCCCGTATTAAATGTTGACTTAAAAAACAATTCTGTAAAAATAGTGTAAAACAAAGACCTAAAACCATTATAGCTTTCGAGTAAAGTACACCAGGTACAAGTACCTAAACTGGCGTCAAAAAGAAAACAGAAACCCACTGGTTCCGTGGCCCCAGATTATGGAGTTTCAGAAGGCCCATGTCCCTGTGCACTCTAATATAAAAATGTTGAAACTTCCTAGTAGTGGTGGTAGCCTGTTCACCTCTTCCTGCCTCCCCTATCTTCCTATTGAACCATCATAATGGACGGCTTTACTATGTTGGGTTGGGATGGGGCAAGGCAAATGTTGACACTTTTAGGATGTGTTGTTACATACTAGAATGTCCTGAAAAGTGGGTGCCACAGCATAGAGACCTCTTGAAGGGTTCTTATACAATAGAGGCCATTAATAAAGACCAATGTAACAGGCAGGTCTTAGTTCACCATTACCAGGTTCTGCTTGGCGTCCAGACACGTTCTCCCCAGGACTGCTTAGCACATGGAAGTATAAACCATACTTCTCATTATAGGCAACAAAGCCAAAACTTTTTTCAGTTTTGGATAGGGAAGGGTTAGGTTAAGACCCCCTGTCCATTTTGTTTTGCTGCCTGCGTCCTATTGTGGAGATTTCCCTTCACAGAGGAAACCGGGTCAGGGAGTAACCACATAGAATAGGTCACCTGTGATTTGGGAACACCTAAGGCTCCATTCACACTGGAGCGGCTGTCCGCACTTATTCAGCTGTACAAATACGCGCGGAACTGCTCCCCAAAAAAAAAAACAATGCACTTTAATGTGCATTGTTAGGACTATTGGACTATTGCGGGGACCGCATGGTACGAAACCCCCCCCCCCCCGCCCCCCAAATAGTGCAATCGTGATAATACGGCGGATTCCGCTCGTTCACGGCTATATAATAGCTGCAAACGAGCGGAATCCGTGCAGTTATTTTACATGTAGCGTTTGGGATGGGAGCAGACACCTGGTGCCTGTTCCTTGTGTCTGGAGTCACTTTACAAGGTAAGGTGAATACACTTTAAACACTCTTTTACTGTCTTGTCATTTCATTGCGTTACCTACTGACTTTGATGCTGTTGTCATGACTCCGCCCCCATCGCAAACATGACATTGAGTGGATGCAGTACTGAGCATCCATGCTTGGCGTACCCCAACATACACTACTGTATATTGCCAAAAGTATTGGGACACCCCTTCAAATCATTGCATTCAGGTGTTCCGTGAAATTTCCTGGCTACTAAATATTCCACAGTCACCTGTTAGTGGAATTATTGTGTGGGGTTATTTTTCAGGGGTTGGGCTTGACCCCTTAGTTCCAGTGAAGGGAACTCTTAAGGCATCAGCATACTAAGACACTTTGGACATTCCCATAGAAACACTCCTAAATCTTGTGGACGCTTCTTCCCAGAAGAGTTGAAGCTGTTATAGCGGCAAAGGGCGGAGCCAACCCAATATTGAACCCCGCGGACTAAGGCTGGGATGCCATTAAAGTTCATGTGCGTGTAAAGGCCGGCGTCCCAATACTTTTGGCAATATAGTGTATTTGTTTAGTTGAATGCAGTGCATAACATTCATTCTCCGCTTACCCCAGCATACTTGTTCAGTTTAATGCAGTGCTAAACATTCCATGCTTGGCTTACCCCAGCATACTCGTTCAGTTGAATGCAGTGCTAAACCTTCATGCTTTGCTTACCCCAGCATTCACATTTAGTTAAATGCAGAAGGGACGAGGAGTAGACAGGCAGACAGATCCTGCACTGTTTCATGTGGTGGGACAAGGTTTTCACACCGTTCTGATCAATCTTTACCGCTGCAAGTACTGTACTTGGCTGAGGGGTTTCTGCTGTTGCAGTAGACATGTGATTGAATGTCATTTCATGCCTGTGCCCGGTTTATGGCTCTGAGGATCTTGCTGCCTGCAAAGTTTATCTAAAATGTCAGGTTAAACACTAAATCCAGGATTGCTATGGAAATATACTTAAAGTGAACCTGTCAGCCATTTTTAACATTTTGCCTAAGAGCAGAAACCATAAATTGTCTGGAATTACATTTGCTAGGCAAAAAAAGCCCCCTGTCTTCCAAATAGAGCAGCCTCCATTCCCTAAAATCTCTGCTAAGCCCCGGCAGCGCCACTTTCCTTTGCGCTGAGGACCGTGGTAAGGACGCTGTCATTGGATACGAGTTTGGCTGTGTATGGAGGTCTGAAGGCCAGTGAACTAAACAGGAACATAGAAGAGGCTTTTCCGCCTAATCAAAGTAAAGCAGTCAGCTTGTAACGTCTGCTCCACGGCACAACTTTCACTTAAAAAAAATTCAAAATGGCTGGCAGGACCACTTTAAAGGGGTTTTCTACTTTCGTGGCAAAAGCTGAGCCGCCAACAAAGCCTTCTCTGTTTGAAAGACACAGCGCTCCATAGTCTTTGAACTACCAAGAACCACGAGATCAAATGTTTTTTTAAACATCCTGTTGTTTTGAAAGGGTGGGGCCCTTACTATATGAGAGCCCATGAAACTGGGGGGGGGGCCTTGTATTGGCTATGGAGAACCTATGGTAAAAAGGTGCAGCAACGAACCTATGGCTAACTCAGCAGAGAACTGAAAGACATTTTGAACAACTCAAATTGTGCTATGAACATGCTTCCAGTTGAAGGGGGGGAACCCCGTGCTCCTCTAGTCTGGCTGTCCTCCAGCAGGGGGGTCCCCTTACTATAAAAGCCTCTTAACAAACTCCGAACAAGAGAAAGACATCACCCCAAGTTTGTGATATTTTATTTGTGCGCTTGCAACCTGATCCACACTGCAATTCTGTGTCTATTTTAACATTTTAGCCTCCTGCTCGCTCCATCAACGGGTCCCTTGTCGGCTGGCAGGTCCCTTCTCTCAGTTTCTGCCCGCTCCGTGCCTCTTTCGACGGAATCCAACACTCCAGCAGCTGCGGGGGGAAAACAACTTGGCTTTCGTCGCTGCCAATTGTGCAGATAGCTGGCACTGGCACCACGGGTCCGGAGGCAACGAGGAGGAGGATGGGAGATCACAGAAGGAAAGATGGACAGATGCCACAGAAGCTGGAGCTGAGAAGGTGCCAGCTCTGGCAGCATGGGGCCAAGGAAGCTGGCACGGTGCACCCAGGCAGGCGGGAGGCGGTTTGGCACAGGCGCCATTGAGGATGACACAACATGCAACGTGAGCGAGACAGACGGAGCAGAGGGAGAGCGAGAAAGAGGCTTAGAAGGGAAGTAGAGACAGTGACGGAACGGAAGAGAGGGAGAGATGGAGCAGGTATACAATGGACGCACCAGCAGGTAGCGACAGCCTCTGTATATAAAGGGATCTGGCTACAGTCATTTTGTGCAGCTGCAAGATGGAACACAGGCTCCCTCCGTTTCAGACTGGCGACGGTGGCGCCGACGATTCTCGATTCCGGGCGTCTGCTTCCTGTGGCCTCTCAAACACCCAGACAGAGGGATATCTTAGGATTTGGGCATTTTTCCCAGACATTCCCATCTGCCTCTTTGCCTTCCGTATCCTCCGCATTTAGTCTCCTTTCGGAGCGCGCTAGAAGTGGCCGCGTATTCTAAATCTCAAGGAGAATCCCTATCGCTGCGTATGGATATACTTTATTCCTCCGAGAGAACCTTCTGTGGCTTCCCATATGGATGTTGTATGGATATCGCAGAACGAGGATGTAATAGTCCCATTGTGGCAGCCATGGCGGACGTGCAAAAGCCGGCCAGCTTGGGTTGGGATTGGCTGCAACGCTTGCTCTCAAGAAGATATCTAGGTTTTCTTCCTAACAAAATCCTTTTTGTCATTGATCCTTGTTCAGCTTGGATTTAACATCTACCTATTTTTTTGTATAAAGCGGATACTCTGGGCAAGATATTGTCTTGCCAGTAGGGCGGCAGCAGTGAGACTAATGGTAACGGTGCTGAGAAAAAGAGTATTGTAATGCCAAATTTCCAGCAATGGCGAAAAATGGCAAAAAAAAGTTTATTTGACCGTTTCCTTTAACTGGTGTTAATTCTTGGAACCGGCACTGGATGTATACTATGGCTATCCGGTGCCAGTCTGCTGGAACCGAGGGGTACATGACTGGGCAGCCTTGGTGTAAGCAAGACAGAGGTGCACTGCTGCTTGGTATGGCAAGGCATTGGTGCACTGCTGCTTGGAATGACAAGACAGAGGGGGACTGCTGCTAGGTATGGCAAGTCAGAGGTGCAGTGCTGCTTGGTATGGCAAGTCAGAGGTGCAGTGCTGCTTGGTATGGCAAGTCAGAGGTGCAATGCTGCTTGGTATGGCAAGTCAGAGGTGCAATGCTGCTTGATATAGCAAGACAGAGGGGCACTGCTGCTTGGTATGGCAAGTCAGAGGTGCAATGCTGCTTGCTATTGCAAGACAGAGGTGCACTGCTGCCTGGTATAGGAAGACAACAGTCCACTGCTGCTTGATATTGGAAGACAGAGGTGCACTGCTGCCTGATATGGCAAGACAGAGGTGCACTGCTGCCTGATATGGCAAGACAGAGGTCCACTGCTGCTTCATAAGCAAAACAGAGGTGTGCTGCTGCTTGGCATGGCAAGACAGAGGTGCACTGCTGCTTGGCATGGCAAAATAGGTGCGCTGCCGCTTGGCATGGCAAGACAGAGGTGCGCTGCTGCTTGGCATGGCAAGACAGAGGTGCGCTGATGCTTGGCATGGCAAGACAGAGGTGTGCTGATGCTTGGCATGGCAGCAAAGAGCACATAGGACTGAACTGCTGTGCATGGGTCTCTCTCAAAGGGTAACCTATACCCAATCTCTGGCATCCTGCCAACCTGACACCAGCTCCTAGAAAACCCCACCATGGGTTTTTTTTTCTAACATGCTAATTCCCATCCGTCATTTTTAATTATAATGCGGAGAGGGATGCTGCAAAGTTATAGCATCTGTGCTCCAGGATGTTGAGACGCAGAGCGCGCGTGATGTCATAGTCGGCTAAAAAAAAAAAGGTCTGAAGGGCGCTGAAAGCAACAACGCGCTTCTGATCGAATCATCCTTTTCCTTTAAACCTTGGTTACACGCTGGTACGAAATCATATTGAAATAAATAATGAGTTCATCAGCTGGTCGGCTCGTCAGCGGCCTTTATGAATTGTCAGACCGATGTTGAGTATAAATTGGATTTTTCAAGGCTCCTTTTGAAATGGCGTAGCGGCCGGCGGGCCAGGTCACCCAGATCCTCTGCTTTACAGGGCGATAGCACAAACGAATGACATAGTTGCCAATATGTTGAATGTGTTTCCAGGCATGCTACAGTGTACAGGCAATTGGATCTGGCTCCTAGCTCTTAGTCTCAGGGCTCCTTAGGACACAAAATGCCAAGCCACGGATCATTTATTTAATTGCTACATATGGACATTGTTTCCATTTCGATGCGGATACTCGATTAAAAAAATTGATAACAGCTACCAAATAATGATATGTGGTCAGAATTATTGTGATGTGCCGTAAAAGGGTCACATATGGCGTTGGAGCAGGACTATGGTATTCCAGGGACATATCTTTATAATCTGGTGATTAGGGATAGTTGGCATCCATATACTGAATATGTAGCAGTCATTCATTTATTTGATAGCATGTGTTTATATACAGAGAGAGGAAGGGAATTGTCTGGTCTGTCTGTATATTTGGATAGTTCTGTGCACTGATTTTCTTTCCTGCTGTACGAGTGTATAGTTCTGTACATCATCAGTCCCCAAGCAGTGGCTCGGGAGACCTATGCAGCTCCAAGTTCTCTTTGATGCTGCTTATGACAGCTGTTCAGTAAGAGCTCTGCTCTTGTCTCTGCGAATACCTGCTGGCATAACTCCAAATGGTGGCTGCTTTAACTTTTTTTTTTAAAGGGACACTCTTACTCTCTAGCGATATTGCCTTAAATATATCTTGTGGTCTCTTACCTTAACCTAGTGTTGCTGTGGGCCATTGTGGACTCAACGCCATGGCAGACAAGGCGCTTTGTTGTCCACCGTCTTGTGAAATTGAGAATGTGCAATGCCATGTGTTGATCGCTTATAATTCTGGTTGGGGTTTGGAGGGGGAGGAATGCTTGCTGATCTGCTTGGGGTTACAAGAAATTTCCTTGCTGTGCGGTACCACTTGGCTGCAAAAAAAAAGAAAATATGTTGCAGGGTGGACCGAAACTGACCTAGCACCAGCTCATAATGCCAACATGTCAGAGGGGGTGCATTGCGTTTGTGCCAGGGTTTCTCTCTCTACAATGCCCAGCAATGTCAGGAGGAGTTAAGAGATGCCCATTAACCTTGCACTGACTCATGATGCCAACAAGCCAGAGTGGGTGCATTGCACAGTGCCAGGGTCCTACTCCCTCCAGTCCCTAGCAATGTCAGGAGGAGTTGAAAGATGACCAGTGACCTTGCACCAGCTCATGATGCCAACATGTCAGAGAGGGTGCATTGCATTGTGCCCGTGTTTCACTCGCTCCAATCCCCAGCAATGTCAGGAGGAGTCGGGACATGCCCGGTAGCCCTGCGCCGGCTCATGATGCCAACATGTCAGAGGGGGTGCATTGCATGGTGCCAGGGTTTCACTTCCTTCAATTCCCAGCAATGTCCGGAGGAGTCAAGAGATGCCTGGTGACCCGGCACCATCTCATGTGCCAACATGTCAGAGAGGGTGCATTACATGGTGCCAGGGTTTCACTTTCTCCAATCCCCAGCAATGTCAGGAGGTGTTGAGAGATTCCCGGTGACCACGTGGTGGCTCATGATGCCAACATGTCAGAGAGGGGGCATTGCATGGTGCCAGGGTTTCACTTCATCCAATCCCCAGCACTGTCAGGAGGCGTCGAGAGATGCCCGATGACGCCGCGCTGGCTCATGATGCCAACATGTCAGAGAGGGGGCATTACATGGTGCCAGGGTTTCACTTCCTCCAATCCCCAGGCAATGTCAGGAGGTGTTGAGAGATGCTGCGAGGGGGCAGTAAATAGCAATAGGGTTCATTTTATTTTCTAACAATATTTGTAGGTGAAGGCATTTGTTAAAGTTTTTTTAAAGTTTTTTTTAAAGTCTGGGATAAAGTGGGGAAGTGTTAGAATCTCTGTCTGTGTCTAAGTTAGGGAGATTTCCCCTCACTTTCTTTTTCCAGTGACCACACGATAAGTGC